CACTCCCCAGCCACTGGACAAATCATCATACATGTGATAAGGAAGAAAGCGGCTGGAGAACAAGGGTCAGAGCTGCAGGAACAACTTATTCCCTAGGACCCTATCCTAGCAGTTTTACCCTTCTTGGGAACTCACCAGAGCGCAAGTTGGTCATGGTGGAGGGCAACTGGAGGTAGGCAGGGTTGTGAGTAGTCACACCAATCTCAATGGAACCAGCCCATTTGTCCACCATCTTGTCTATGCGCACCTGGAATACCTCTCCGTCCCGTAGGGCTCTACTGCTGAGCACCACTCCATGATTGAAGTCATCAGTGGCACTGAGAACACAGCAAAGAGAAGTTCAGATTCTAGTACCTACTCTTGAATATGCCAAGGCTTAGCCCAGTCACACCTACCCATCAACCACTGCCCCAAGCCAACCAACCAGACCTCACGATCTGGGAGGCTTCCCACCTTTCTGTCTAGGACTTCCCAGACAAGATTCCTTCTGCTTCCCCCATCACCATCCCACCCCCCACCCCCAATTCCATTAGAGCCTCTTCTGCAGGCTTCTCCCCACCCATGGGCCATACTGGGGCCTCAGGGCAGTGCGTCCCTCGTGGGTAATGGCTGCCTTCTGCCCACAATTGGGGTGGAAAAGCAGGCGCTCAGGTTCTGCCTGGGCAGCAGGAGCAGCACGTCGGAGAGCACCCTCAGGAGATAGCGCCCGCAGAATGGCATTGTTCCGGCGGAGTCGATCAGAGTGGTTGTTGTTATGAACAATGGTGACTTTCACAGCCATCCCATACAAGTCCACCACACCATACACCACTGGGGGTGTCAATGGGGTAGCCACACCTGTGGCAGAAGAAAATAAGGGTAGAAGAATCAAACACAAGAAAAGCAAGCACCAGAGAGGCAGAAGAATGAGGTCTAGACCCCATGGTAGTCCTGGGCCAGAAGCCTACTCTGAGCATCCCCTTACCCTGATCGATGCCATTAATGAAGAAGTGTAGAGCAGAATTGGACTTCCTTGTGAGGCCAATGTGGTCACCCTCCTATTAAAAGAAGAAAAATAACTCAGAATGGAACCTAGCTACAGAGAATCCTGGGGCCTTCTCATCTCACTTTTCCATAGGAATCAGTTCCCAAAGATATTCACATGAGTCTCAGTACCCTAGAGGACAGGCAGGGCAGGTCTTGGGTCCCTGTTTTCCAAACATGGCAATTTCAACATTTCCTGAATGCTCAATATAAGTCAAGAACAGAGTTAAACCATTTTACAAACATCAACTTCTGTTATGGTTTAATATTAAGTGTCCCCTCAAAAGTCATGTATAAGACAGTAAAAGAAAGTTTAGAGGGCTGTGGCTGTGGCTCAGTGGTAGAACGCATGCCTTGCACATATGAGGCACTGGGTTCAATCCTCAGCACCACATAAAAATAAATAAAGGTATTGTGTCCATCTATAACTAAAAATATATTTTAAAAAAAGGAAGTTTAGAGGTGAAATGATAGTTATGAAAACCGTAGTGTATTAATCCCCTGATAGAGATTAATGAGTACTGCTTCAGGCAGAGTATAACTGGAGAAGATGGGTAATTGGGGGCATGCCTTTGGGGTATATATTTTGTGAGCTGAGCTTAGTCTCTCTCTCTGCTTCCTATTGCCATGTTCCTAATTGCTTTCCTCTGCCACTCTTCCACTATGATATTCTGGCTCCCTTCTGGCCTAGAGCAATGGAGTGGGCCATCTATGGACTCTGAAACCGTGAGCTCCCAAATAAACTTCCCCCTCTAAAATTGTTGTCAGGTCTTCTGGTCACAGCCGCAATAGCAGGAAAAATGCTAACTAAAGCAACTTTTAAATTTCCCTATACATAATAACTGCCACAGGGGCTTCAGATGTAGCTCAGTGATAGAATGCTTGCCTAGCATCTATAAAACCCTGGGTTTGATCCACACGCTGCAAAAAAAAAAAAAAAGGAAAAAAAATGTTACCACTAGGCTCATTTTAGAGCCTATTGGGCAACCCTGCCTTTTCAGAAGGGACCTCATACAAACACAAAGGGATTTGCTCTAGGCCATAGAAAAGACCTTTATGTGGTACCCAAGCAGGGTCACAAAGTACCCAGACCTTCCCTTGGAATCACCCAAAACACTGTGCCCCATCCTCACCTGCAGCTCATCCAGACTAAATTCACAGTACTCCCGGCGGGTGCCCTTGCCATTGGTTAGGATCCCACAGCCGCTCATCATGATGGTGCCTGAGCAAAAATGGATACCTGGTTAGGGTATGGGTTTCCTTCACCTCAGTAACCCCAGGCCTATTTGTCCCATGCTGCCCAGGGTTGGTACCTGACTGGAGGTTGGTCATGGTGGCTGGGTACTCCAGGCTGTTGGGGTTGTGGGTGGTGACACCAATCTCAATAGAGCCTGACCACTTATCCACAAGCTTGTCTATCCGTATCTGGGATTGAGTGATGATAAACAGAAGGAGCAGAGAAGTTAAGTGCAGAGAAGGGAATCCCTTGGTTCTTCCCAAGACTCCACCCTCTTGGCATCAAGGGTTGAGCCCCATCTTTAGCTCCCAGAGGGTGAGGCATCAGCCAAACCAGGATCTTGCACACCTCAAACATCTCATTGTCCCGAAGTGGTCGGTTTGTCATGACGACCCCGTTGTTAAATTCATCCAGGGGCCTCCGGCGCTCAGCTGTCTTATTATTGTTGCTGAGTTTGATGAGGGTCCCACACTTCTCATGAAAGAGCAGAGCGTCATTCGAAGTAAGGATAGGCGAGGTGGCAGCACCACTAGATCCCAGCCCATCCCCTGAGGGTGGGGAGCTCAGGTTCACATTCAGGAGCCCCCCATTGTAGGCAGACAGGATGGCGTTGCTCACCACCTCAGAGAGCTCCATGCTGGCAAAGTCTACATCAGGAGGACGGAGAAGGGCCAAAATGAAGCTCTATACTCTCTCTCTCCGTACCCCACTCCTGAGGCCCCTCCCTCATTGCCCGTTCCCCTTCCCAGAGCCTCCCCAAAGCCCTCACCATTATGCGACTCAAGGCTGTTAGGAAACGTCTCCGGTCGGGCCTGCGCTGGGGACACCATGAAGGCTGGGGACCAGGTAGGATGGGAGGGGAATAACACAGTGATCTGGGTGCACTTGCCGTAAAGCCCTTGCTTCAGGACCCATATCCAGGAGACCCTCTCCTCTAGCCCCTGATCTCCCCAGTAACAGACTCAGGGTCTGAAAGGTCCTGCCCACACCCAGCCTTGATCACTACTGCATTTGCCCCACCCTGTAACCACACCCACTGCCTCACCCCTCCACCATGGCCCTGTGTTCTCTCACCTTCATCCCCAGAGGTCCCCTGTTCCGTCAAGACAGAATCTTCAGGGGGGGCCAAAGGCTCCAGGGGAGGTGTAGGGATGGGAGTAGGGGGGCTGAAGCCTGGCTCAGGGGGCAACACGGTGATCTGGGTGCACTTGCCGTAAAGGTCCACAACAGCCCATACACGGGCGGGCAGGCCTGTGGCAGCCACACCACAATCCCGCCCATTCACCCAGAGCCGCAGCTCTCCAGCAACAGTGCGCTCCACACCCACACGGTCCCCTTCGCCAAGCTGGTCCAAGTCCTGGCCATACTCTTCCAGCACAGAGCGCCCATCCCTCAGCACCGAGCAGCCTGACACTACCCACGAGCCCCCCTTCAGCCCCGTAGCACTGCTTGGGAAATCCAGCACACTGGGGTCCAACGATGTCACTCCAATTTCAATGGAGCCGCTCCAAGAGTTGACCTATGATGGGGGTAGTATAGAGAGATTTAGGATGGGCCATCACTGGGTCTCCCACCGCTAGGAAAACCCATTCCACAGGTCACTCTGCTCCCCTCTCACCACCTCTGAGGCAATAATCCAGAGATGAAGACCTATAAGTCTAGACCCTGCCTCTAATTATTTGGGCCTGCTCTCTCCTAGCAACTCTGCCCTGAACTCAGGTGCTTAGCATGGTAAACACTAAGCAGGTTAAATTCTCTGGTTCCAGCTTCCTACCTCCTCTAACTTCTCTGGGTCTCTATGGCTCTTCAACCACCACATGCTTCCTATGCCCACGCCTTTTGCTCTTGTATATCACTCTCTTCTTCCTGGTCTGATTCTCTTCTAGGATCAAGCTCCACCCAGATTCACTCTCCTCCCAAATTTTCTGTAAGACAAGTAAATCACACACCTTTCTGGCCCTACCTGAGAAACCACTGTCCTTCAGTGGTTTGTTCTTTTCTTGGTATTCCTCCCTCCTCTCATCACATATCTGATATCTCTCCATCGTCCACCCACCAAGATATTGGGCCGGGAGACCTGTTCCCTAGCCATTCTAGTAGGTGAGCAGGTGTCCCTCTCCTTGCTTCTGAGTGTTAAGGAAACTCAAGCTCTCACCTTGTCTCCTCCAGACCGAATGCTTCTGCTTCATGCTCTCCTCCTGCCCATCTCTTAGTGTCCTACAATCTGTCGGTTCCCTCTCGGTACCCAGTTATGTGGGCTTTCTGGCTGTCCTACCCCATCTTCCCCTGTTCCCCTCCCACCACCTCCACATGTCGGTTCCGTGGTCCCAGCTCTGCACCTTGCGATCGATGCGGACGGTGAAGACGCGTCCATCGCGCAAGGGTTCCCGGCTCAATACAAGCCCGTGGTTAAACTCCTGGCCCGGCTGCTGCCGCCGCGCTGTACGCCCACAGGCCGAGAGGCTCACCAAGCGCCCTGTGCGCGGGTGCAGCTCCCCGTCGCTGCCGAGACCCCCGCTGGACCCCGGTCCTGGGCCGCTCCCGCAGGGGCCCCCACCCCCGCCGGGTCCTGGCCCGGGGCCTCCCCCAGAGCCCCCACTCCCACCCGACCCCGCCGCCATCGCCGCTGACACCCGGGCCGCGCGACAGCCGCGCTTGGCGGCACCGTGGCAACCGCGAAGGACAGACACCCTGAGGGAATACGACCGGGGGCTGGGACCAGATATGCTTTACGGCACTATCAGGCAATGAAGCATCCCGGACTGGGAACTAATGACTACCACACGGGGAACAGAAGGACGACGGGGTCGGGAGGCTCGCTTTACGGCACGGTGAGATGACGGAGTGGCTCAGAAAAGGATGAAGACTAAGACAGGGAGCTTTTGCGACAGTGGAAAGAAGAAAAGTCCGCCACAAGCATCTTTACGACCGAAGGTTTATGGCGCCAGACGCGCTTTGCGACAGCAGAACCGACAACCCCGCCCTCGCCAGGGGAAGCGATATATTGAACTATTCGCTTTACGGCAAGGGGTGAGAGTGTTCTCTACGCGCTACACGCTTTAAAGAGCTATAAACGGGGTGACCAGGGGGCACAGAGAAACTGTAGTTTTATAAATGAAAGTCTCTGCCCTCCACACCTTTGAGATCAAAAGTGTCGCGGTCTCCCTACTTTGCATCACACTTTTCCTGAGAAGCAACGGGAGACGATTTGTGGCTGGGGGTGGGGATTCACGTCAAGCCCAGAATGAACTCTTTCAATCAAACTCTTAAGACTTTAAATCCACAAATAGAGTCCAAAGACACCTCGGCAGGCAGTTTCAAATTACAGCGCTAACGACTCAAAAAGATTCCGCCACGCCACTAGCAAAACCCCAGCCCAACTCCCCAAGGTTGCTGAGGTCTCCCTCCCGCTAAGGTCGGAAGGCTGTGACGTCACAATTAGGGGTTCACGCCCCCTGGTCAAGCCCCCTGGCTATGATTGGCTCATTTGGTGAGGGCGGTGATGGAGAAAGGCGGGAACAAGTTGTAAAGACAAAGACATCGGGTGGCATAAAAAGGGAAAGGCGAGCGGAGTGACTCCCAAGCCTGAGATCTCTTAAATAGAGTCTTGATTCCGTCCACCGCGGCTCTAAGGAGCAGAAGAGGAGGGGACCGGGTCCGAGCCGGAGCGTTCCCCGCCCACCGCGTAGGGGGCGTGGCTCAGGGGCGGGGCTATGTGGAACTGGAAGGCGGGGTGAGGTAGCTGAGAGTGGCCCCCTGGTGGGGCCATGGAGAGGCAGGGTTCCCTGGGACCTGCTAGAGGCTTCAATGGAGAATCACCTGGAGTGGTTACCAGGGGAGTGGCCGGAGGGGTCAGAGGAGTCGAGGCAGACACCAGATTGCCCTTCAGAGTAGCCTCGCCTAATGGTTCTGAGCCCCCCTCGCACTCGGGGTGCAATGTGGTTCGCAGTCCTGGTTCAAGCCATCCCACCGAGCGGGTAGTGGCCCCCACTTCTGAGCTTAGTCAGCAGCCTGGGGAGGTTGCGGGCCACCTTGAGTTCAGCCCATCCCCTGATGCAGTCAACATTCCCTGCCCTGGATCCTGCTTACCCAGGACTTCCTGTGCCGGGCCCGGGGTCTCCAGAATGTACACCTCGGGCTGTGGTCTGCACTCTGGGTCAACTTGTTTGCACTCTGGTCCCTGTGAGGACCGGCCCAGGAGCATCCTAAAAGACAGCAGCTCCATCCTGATGCAGAAATCCCCCTGTGTGGATAAGTAAGGAGTCTAGCTCTGGGGACAGAAAGCCCAGAGACTGGAGGGAGGAGTTCGGGACACGGAGGGGGCGGAGCCATGAGGGAAGGGGCGGAGTCCTCAGAAATAGAAGTGAGACTAGGTGAAGGTAGTTGGGTGGGAGATCTGTTGTTTCAGGCCTTTGGGAGAGCAGCAGATGCCCCATAAATCCTGGCCAAATGGTACCGTAATTATCTTTGGGTCTCACCCTACCTAAAGCCTGTAAAAGGGGGTGTAAAAAAAAGTTTTTTGAATGACCAGAAAAATGAGGGAAGGCTGTGAGGAGGGAGGTCACTAGAAGGTCTGTCTCCTCCTCTTCTATGTACTCTCTTTATCCCAGGAAAAAGGCTCAGCGCTGGGATGAGATGAATATCCTGGCCACTTATCACCCTTCTGATAAGGACTATGGCTTTATGAAGGTGGACGAACCCAGCACCCCCTACCGCAGGTGACCTCAGCCTCAATTTGTCAGCCTAGACTCTTCCCGTTCTAATAAGGGGGGCAGGGGAGGAGGCAGAGAAGCCTCAGGAACTAGACATTGCCTGATACCCCCTCCTCTGCAGACTGCAGGACAGTGATGAGGACCTGTTGGCAGGGTCCTCCTTCAAGGTGACCCCTGAAGTGCTAGAAGAGAGGTGAGAGTCTTTTTAGAGATCAGTTGAGGTTTGAGGTCTTCTCCTCTTTTGCCCTTGAACTTGGGCCTGAGGCACCTCTGCTTTTTTGGCCTGCAAAATGGGAGGTACCACAATTCCCATCAGGTCTGACTAAGACTGATCTGGGGGGGATCAGCCAGCTTGGTATCATCTACCACATGCCCCCATTGTTGTTCTCTCCCTTCGGTGTCCCCAACTAGTCTCCCTCCCCTTCAGGTTTGCAACAATGGACAATTTCCTCCCCAAGGTCCTCCAGTATGGTGACAATAGAAGCTCAGGAGCTGCAGACAACTTTTCCAAGACACGTGAGATGCAGGGTGGGCACTGAAAGGAAAGGGGAGGTGGAGCAAACCTTCAGCGAGAGCCTAACAGCAAAGCCAAGCTCTCACACTGGCCCACAGACTCCTGTAATTTTGACAAGCACCGTAAGACACACTACACTGAAGGGAAGTTCCTCAAGTCTCAGAAAAACCTGCCCTTGGAACATGATGAGGACAGCTGTAGTGCCGGCATCAGCAGTGGTGTTAGAGGTGTGACTATAGAGCCAAAGCCCAGGCCTGTGGAGAGATGCTGGGCAGGAGGACTAGCCAAAAGAGTCAATGATGAAACTGACATGCTTGCCTCGAGACCCGTCCTAGATGTCAAAGGTTAGTGATGGGAGACTTCAGAGACTCAAGAGGGTTGTAGTCCAGAGCCTGTTCTAACCCATGGTCCTCTTGGACTTTCTCTTCCTCACTTCTCCACCATATTATTCCTCAGTGGGCACTGGCCCACAGCCCTGCTGTCTGGTAGGGAAGCAGTGCTGGGTGGTGATCCCAGGGAGGAAAGACCATTGGAATGGGGTCCCATTCAGGATAGCCCCCATAGCTAGCTGGCTGCTGAAGAACACAAAGTCCAAGAGAACCATGAGGGATGAAAAGGTCCCTAAAGGTTTTCTAAAAGATGAGGGTTGGTAACAGAAGAAAATGAGATGAGAACCTGGGAGTTGAGCTTCTCCCTTCTGGTAAGGTCCACCGTATATACCTGGGAGGCATGGACACACCAAATGACCATGACTCAGATTGCTTTGGGTGATTCCTCAGATTCCTCTAGCTGCAGAAATCAGTTCCCCTCAGCTTCAACCCCCATTCCATTGGAGCAAATCGATCTGCAACGCAGGGAGTATTATAGCCAAGGAAGATACCTGAGGTCTGACTCCCACCCAGAACCTGAAGAGGACATAGAAGATGAGCAGCAGCACAGTGAGAGCTGGTGTGGGAAGCCTGGGGAGTGGGGACCCTCATCCCACAACACTTTCAGGCTCCACAGACTTGACCTTGGTCATTGAGAAACCACCCATAAGCACTAAGGTTCATATATTGGACCACACAGGAGGTTCCTTTAGGGATCACAAGGCCATTAAGGGCTCTGCAAAAATGACAGTGATACCACTGCAGCCTGATGAGGACACCAGGCCATCATCTCACTGTCCTGCCTCTTGGCAAATTCCATTTCTCAACCTTCCAATCCTATTAGATCATTTCATCAGCAACAGGTAAGAGAGGCCCTAAACATCCCAGAGCCCAAGGCTCATATTGTGTAGAACAGGAAACACAGAAGTTCAGAAAGGGTTGGGGACTCCCTCTAGTTTGTTACCACCCACTGGCTCCATGCTTCCTTCTTGACTCCTCTCTGCCATCTCATCCCACTCCAGGAACTACCATGTCATCCAAAGACAATAGGTCCCCAGTGACATCCAGCTGGTGTCAGTGGCTAGAGGCCAAGAGGCAGAACTGCCGAAGCCCAGGGAGCTCAGAGAGGGAACATAGACACAGCCAGAACCCTCCAACCCAGAACGGGCGCAGACGTGAGCCTGGGCAGAGGCAAGGAGGTGGTTGCATTGGCCTGGGAGGCAGAGGGTCTGAGTGGGTAGGTTCTAGGGAGTTTACGATGGGCAAGATCTCATGACTGCTGCAAGAAATCCACTAAACCCAGATTCTTCTCTCTCCAGATGAAACTCTGCGGCTCCAATGGACTCAGGAAGAAGAATCCAGACAATGGAAAATGTAGCACCTTAGGATGGGGTGAGGGCAACCTTACCCTGCACTTACCACCTTAGGAGTAGACAATAAAAAAGAAGAAGAGCAGGATTCTGGATGCTGTCAATTGGATGCTCAGGCTGGGCCTGCTGGGTCAAGCAGTGGGTGGGGTGGGAGGACCATTCAAGAGCAGGAAACCAAGAAAGCAGAGCACAGAGAAGGAAACTGGGAACCACCCAGGAACTGGATGCAAAAGAAGCTAGGATCTCAAGAATGTTAATGTCAAGCAGCAGCAGGATGGTAATGACTGATGCAATTAATTTAGTTAACCATAAATCCAACCCTCTTCAATTTTTTTTAATAACCCCAAAGGGAGGGATTTTCATTTGTATCTTCTAATGAAGAAACTGAGGAATCAGAGAACTTACAAAGGGTCACACAACCTACACGACCTCTAAGTGACAGAGCCAGGATTTGAACCTACATCACCAGCCCCTCCACCCCCCCCCCACACAAACTCAACCACTAAAAGAGAAAGAAGCAGAGGGAGAGACCAGGGGCCCCAGGAGGAAGGTGACAACAGATAGTCTCTAGGGGCGGGGCTGTGGCTTCTCTGATCTCAGGCCCCCCTCCTCCACCCAGGCTCCACCCCTGCCTCTCCCAGCATTGCCTGGAAGTGTGGAGTGAGAGCTCCTCCTAGAATACCCCTTTCCTTTGGGGACAGAATTGTACCCCCCAGGTACAACCCAGCAAAGGACCCCCTCCTTCCTCATTGAGGCCATTCTTGGGGCAGGGAGTGCCTTGGCCTATATCCCCACCTGCCTGGCCCCGGGGCCCTCTGGCCCCACAGCAATCAAGTGAGATGACTGTCAAGCTGGATTTTGAAGAGTGTCTCAAAGACTCACCCCGCTTCCGGTAAGTATGTGTAGGTTGGGGGGGGATGGCCAAGGTGGGGAGGGTCCAAAATCGCCCAACACGACAGCATACACACAGCTTTTCCCAGGCCAGATCAACTTCAGGGTATAGGCCTCAGGGGAGGAGAGAAACCGGGTGTGGTGCCTGTAATCCCAGTTATTTGGGAGGTTGAAACAGGAGGATCTCAAGTTCAAGGCCAGCCTGGGCAATTTAGTGAGACCCTCTCTCATAAAGAGCTAGGGATATAGCTCAGAGGTAGAGAACCCCTGGGTTTAATCCCTAGTACCTCACACACACACCAAAAAAAAAAAAAAAAAAAGTGACCAGAGGAAGCTGATGGGCCAAAGTAGTACTTCTGATATCAAACCAGAGTCCTAGTTTGATCTCTACCCTGCCCATACTGTCTGGTCTCTCTAATCCCCCAGAACTGATATCCCTTCCTCCCTCTCACTGGGACCCCTGTCCCTCCCCCAACACCTGCTCTGGGCGGTTAGCAACTTCCGGCTCTAGTCACCACATCCATCTTTCTTCTCTTCCTGCTCTGGCCTGGCCTGTAATAGCTTAGACTGTGAAGTAAATAAGCAAGATCAGGTGGCTGGGTGGCCCTTCTCAACCCAGCAGCTTTTTATGTCTGTCCCCACTGCCCCAAACCCCCAATCCCAACCCTGAAGAGGTTCTAGACCTGATGGACCTGAGATCTGTTCCTGTGACCTCATCCCTCCTTCCCCAGAGCCTCTATCGAGTTGGTGGAAGCTGAAGTGTCAGAATTGGAGACTCGTCTGGAAAAGGTGACACTTACATGGAGAGGTGACCCAGGAATCTCTCCTGGATAAGAGGGCTGGGCCATGGAGAAAGTTGGAGACTGGGAATAAGTCCTAGGGTTATTAAATACTAACTGTGTAGGGTATATATTTTGGGGACAACACAGAAGCCAAAAAGAGGTGGTTCTGTGTTCTCATGGTACATAGGATCTTGGAAAACAAGATTCACTTGCAGACGTATGTTCTGCTGCTAAACCCTTGCATTGTACCTGACCCTGGATATTTAGGAGAACAAGACTGTCAAGACTGTTCTAGCCCCCAGATTGGCTGTGGAAGTCAAACCAGTAAAGCATATAAACACCAGATGGAAAGACCTTCCCTGACTGTTTTATAAAATTGCATGTAGCACACACATACACATACATACACACACCCATACACCCATTCTCCTCCCTTACTCCTTACTCTCATTGACCCTGCATTTCCTTTTCTTTCTTTCTTTTTTTTTTTTTTTTTCTTTTGCAGTACTGGGGATTAAACCCAGGGGCGTTCTACAACTGAACTACATCCCCAGTCCTTTTAGACAGGGTCTCACTAAATTGCTGAGACTGGCCTTGAACTTGTGATCCTCCTGCCTCAGCCTCCTGAATCACTGGAATTACAAGTGAACCAAGCCTAAACCTTTACTAGTTTTCTATTGCTATGTAACAAATTATCACAGGAACTGTGGATGTAGCTCAGTGGTGGAGCACTTGCCTAACATGCACTAGGCCCTAGGTTCCATCACCAGCAACATACACACACACACACACACACACAGAAAAATCACAAATTTAGTGGTATAAAATAATAAACATTTTTATAGTTTCTGTGGGCCAGGAGTCTGGGCATGGTTTAGTTACTCCTCTGCTCAGAGTCTCCTAGACTGAAGTCAAGTTCAGTCTTCTAGACTGAAGTCAAGTTCTTAGCTAAGGTTGTAGTCTTATCTGAAACTTGGGACTTTCTTCTGAACTCACAAGATGACAGAATTCAGTTCCTTGCTATTGTAGAACCGAGACCCTCATCTTCTGGAGGCTGCCCACAATTCCCTGTTATATGGCCCTCTCCATTGACACATCACATAGCAGTTTGCTGCTGCTTCTTGTGTTCTTCAAGGTCAGAAGGAGTCTTCCTTATGTGGGCTAGCAAGGTGGCACTGATGTTTATGGAAAGGTAATCACAGGAATGTCATCTATCACCTTCGCTACAGAGTATGACCTCACCATGAGAGTGCTGTCCCATGGCCTTTGCCATATTCTGTTTATTTGTAGTAAGTCACAGTCATGCTTACACTCAAGGGTGGAGATTAGAAAAGAATGTATATCATTGTGGTTCAGCTTAATATGTATTCATCACACTTGCCTGTTTCTTTCTTTGTATTTTCCCCTACTAGAACAAAAGTGCCATGAGGGGCTTTTATGCTATATATTTGCACAATCCGTAGTGCCCCAAAGCCTGAAAGCTAGTATGGGACCAATTCATTTCATATATATGTGTATGTATATATATGTATATATATATATATGTGCATGTTATTATAAAAACACTTTTTTTTATTTTTTGAGACAAGGTCTTGCTATGTTGCTCAGACTAGCTTTGAACTGTTGAGCTCAGGCAATCCTCTTGCTTTTTTCACCAGTATCTGGGACTATAAGCACTTGCCACTGTACTCATTTTTTTAAGAATATTTTTTAAATATATTTTTAGTTGTTGATGGACCTTTATTTTATTTATTTGTATGTGGTGCTGAGAATCAAACCAAGTGCCTCACACATGCTAGGCAAGTTCTCTTCCAATAAGCTACAACCCCAGCCCACTGTACTAATTTTTAAAATTTTAAATTTAATTAATTATTTATTTACTTAAGTACTGGGGATTGAACTCAGGGGTTCTCTACCACTGCACTACGTTCCCAGCCCTTTTTATTTTTTTATTGTGAGATAGGGCCTCACTGAGTTGCCCAGGCTGGCCTCAAACTTGCAGTCTGCCAGTCTCAGCCTCTCAAATAATTCTCAAGAATCCATTACACCTGGCTTCATTGTTTTTTGTAGTTAAACTTTTTATTTTGAGTTAATTATAGAATTGGAAAAATAACAAGGAGAAGACCTATGTACCCATCACGCAACCTCCCCCAATCTTAAGATCTTGTGTAACTCTACTACATTATCAAAACCAGGAAATTAATCTTGTTATAATACAATTAACAATAAAGCCTATAGAACTTACTCAGATTTTATGTTTTATGTGTACTAATTTGTTTGCATGTCTTTGTGTATACATCTATCATACTTTGTCATATATACTCACATAACTATCACCACCTTTATTTTTATTTTTATTATTTATTTATTTATTTTGATGCTGGGGATTGAACCCCTAGGGCTTTGTGCATTCGAGGCAAGCACTCTACCAACTGAGCTTTATCCCCAGTCCCTATCACCATCTTTAAAAAAAAAAAAAATTAAAAAAAAAAAAAATATATATATATATATATATATATATATATATATATATATATATATATATATATATATTAGTTGTAAATATATTGTGTCCCTGACAATATATTTTATTTATTTATTTTTATGTGGTACTGAGTATCAAACCCAGGGCCTCACAGGTGCTAGGCGAGTGCACTACCACTAAGCCCCAGCCCCAGCCCTATCACCACCTTTTAAAAAATATTTTTATTAGTTATTGATGGAACTTAATTTAATTTGATTTATTTATATATGGTGCTGGGAATCAAATCCAGTGCCTCATACATGCTAGGCAAGTGCTCTACCATTGAGCCACAGTCACAGCCCTATCACCACCTTTAAGGTATAGAACTTCTATCACCACAAAGGAACTTCTACAAGCCTTCCCTTTATAGTAATACCTCCTCACCTACTTCTCCAATCCATGGAAACCATTGATTTGTTCCCCATCTCTATACTTTTGTCATTTCCAAAATGTTATATATAAGCTGGGTATAGTGGCATATGCCTATAGTCCCAGATACCTGGGGAAACTAAGACAGGAGGATCATAAAAGGTCAGCATCAGCAAATTTAGCAAGACCCTGTCTTGAAATAAAAAATAAAAGTGACTGAGTATGTCCTATTGCTCAGTACCCACCCACAAATACTAGAATGTTATTTAAATGTAATCATGTAGTATATGACCTTTCAAAATTGGTACTTTTTTTACTCATAATTATGCCTTTGATATGCTGGGCAGTAATATTGGCCAAATTGTTACACTGTATGCATATATTAATATGTAACAATAAATCCCACCATTATGTATAACTATAATGCACCAATAAAAAAATGTGGAGGAAAAAATAATGCCCTTGAAGTTTCTCCATGTTGTAGCACATATCAATAGTTCCTTTTTATTTGAGTACTATTCTATTGTATGATATACTTGTTTGTCTCTAGAAAGATTTTTATTCATATCTTTACTCAGTAGGGCTGGGGTAAGTAAGGATCCAGTCCACACAGTGAGTGATCTGTGAGCATCTTTGTCCCTTGGCACAGACTGATAAGATTTGATCTTGGTCAGTTTCCTAACAATTACTGATCCTGCTAGCCACTGGCACATTAAGCTCTATTTCCCTAAAGCCTCCATAAGCCCCAGAAAATGTTTTTTTTTCAGTTTAACAAAAGTACACTGAACACTTATGAATACCAAGTTCCTGCTGCCCTGCATTTTTTCACAAAGCCTGCCTAATGGTCTCCTGCCACTCAGGACTGAACTTGAAGGACTCTACTATGCTCCATCCCAGACATGGTAACTGAGGCCAGAGTCAAGCATATTGAGCCTCAGGGACAGTGAA